TTTTTTTTAATGTGAAAGAAGCCTATGTATCTAGGTTGGTATTGTTAATTACAAAGATATTCAATATATCATTGCAAATGGAATTCTGCTGGTGCTTAATTAAAATACAAAAACTGTAATAAAAAGCTGAAGTCTAAAACATATTTGAAATATTCCACTTCATCAGTTTGGAGTATAATGTGGTCACATCTCTTAATAGTCAAATATAAAGAACTTGGACTTACAGGAAGACCCTTCTCCCAAGGATCACCCTCATAGATGCCCATTTTCCATGATACCTATGGGGCTTGCTGCATATGGTCACCCTGGAAGCTCCTAGGCAGTCTTAGAAAATGCTGATTCACTGCTGCCATCACCCCTTCCCTCAGTAATTACTCAGAGAACTTGATCAGGAAAGGTTCTAGAACCCACCGCTTGTTTAACCTGAAATATTTGCTCCAAGTAAGGACACAGCCATCACACTTAAATTCTCCCAAATTAAAGGTAGACCCCACCATGCAGATGAGGCAATCATGATAGCCTCCAGTACTACTTCCCCCTACCGTCTGAACAGTCTAATCAAAATCACTAAAATTTTAGAAAGTAACTTCTCCTCCTTCTTCAAAGTCACAGGCTGGTTAAAGGCAAGCTCAATTTGCATTACTAAGCAGAACCTAAAATCTCAGTCTGAAGCATCAGCACACAGATTTAAGGTGAGCTACATAGCTTTCTTAGATCAGTGTGTGAATATTTGCCTTATATATAAATAAATGAAGAGCCCACAGTGATGAATTTCCCAAAACCAAGGAGTCAGCTCCAAAGGCAACTCCAGAAACTGAAATAAGTGACAGCCCCCTTGCGTGAAAATTTTACATACAACATGCAGGCACACACCTACACACACACTTACATATTTTATTCTTAGATTTTTCTTACTTTTTATATTACTTTTTGAGTTCTTTCTTCTGGTACCCCACAAAATAAAAACAGATCATCTATGAACACAAAAATCACAAATAAAATTAATTTTAAGAGTATATCTTTCCACTCTCCTTTTGGTACATGTAAATAAACATGAATGCACACATATATTTCACTCTAATGCAACCACTAAGTAAGATATGTAAGAATCATACGTTAGATAACACACATGAAATGCGCCATCTGTCAGAGTGAGGCAAGAGTGCTGACAAGAGGAAAGCCTGGATGGGAATAAGTCAAAGAACGTTAGCCTTAGAAGGGATAATAGCTGGTCTTGGAAGATGACCCCTATGACCCACTCCTCCCACTAGCCACACCCTTGTGTAGTGTAGTCCCCCCTTCACAATGAATCTGGGGTGGACCTGCTACTTGCTTTAACCAATAGAATGGAGTGGAAGTAATATGGAGCCTAAATTCTGAGCCTAAGCCTTGAGAAAGTCTGACACCTTCTGCATTGCACACTGAGAAGCCCTGAGTGGCCACAAAAAGAAGTGTGGGTGTTCTGTTGTAGAGACCACATGGTGGGGAAGAGGCCCTGAAACGCTCTCTGTGGATAGAGAAAGAGGACAGCCCTCCCAGCATTCCAGCTGAGCTCACCTTCCAGCCATCCTCACTAGGATGCCAGACATGCAAGTGAGCCGTCTAGGGTGTTCTGGCTTAGTTGAGCCCCAAGATGACCACAGTCCCAGCTGACATTATAGGAGCAGAGGAATCACCCAGCTGAGCCTGGTCAACACACAGAATTGGGACAGATTAAAAAAAAAAAAAAGTGTTGTTCTAAGCCATTACATTTTGTTATTGTTCTAAGCCATTACATTTTGTTATTGTTCTAAGCCATTACATTTTGTTATTGTTATCCAACAATAGATAAACCAAAAGAGAAGGCATCATAGACATGATCTAATCAGAGAGATCAGCCAAACATTCTCATTTGGCTTCTTCAAAGGCACTAATTTGTGACTGGGCCAGAAATATAATAGAATTCTGGTCTTAAGTTTTAGTTGAATATTCTTCTATTAAATCCTGAAGTATGAAGAATGGCCATTAAAAATTATCAAGGAGGGTAACTTTCCTTAGAAAGGACCAGTCATACTTACTTGGGTTTTAAATTAATATTCAATTTATTGAAATTATATATTAAAAACATTTTTCTTAGGTTTTTAAGTTTAACTTATAAGCTTGTTATTTTAGTTATAAATCTAGTAATGTCCTTTGATATGCAATTTCTTAGAGTTTAACAGATTAAATTCTCCCAAATAACTAGTCTCAAATTTACAAATATACTAATTAAATTTATTTAAATATGTTAAACTAAATTTGCATAACATCTCTCCCCACCTCCCAAGTACTTCAAGTAATTTACAAGTAGGGTTTGGGCCAGCTGAGTGGCTCAGTTGGTTAAGAGTTGGCTTAAGAGCATGAGCTCTGAGCAACAGGGTCACTGGTTCTATTCCCACATGGGCCAGTGACACTGTGCCCGAGCTGAGCTGTCGCTGAGCTGCCAACAGGTGGCAGGATGGTTCAGCTGATGTAATAACAAGATTGCCTGTTTGCTGGTGGGCATAGCCCACCAGCAACTAAGATTGAACACAGCACCTTGAGCTAAGAGGCCACAAGCTGCCAACGGGAAGCCAGATGGCGACTGGCGCCCTCCACAATGAAGACTGAAGAACAACAACTTGGCTGGTCCCCTTCTCCAATTCCCCAATAAAAAAATCTAAAAAAAAAAGGGGGTTTAAAACCTTTATTTGCAAAATCTTTTTTTTTTTAAAAAAACACTGTAGCCCACGGCAACCCACTACAGCAGGGGCTGCAGCCCACGCCTACCATAGCGACTCTCGGCAGCCCAGCTCCAGATTGAGCTGCTGTTCAGCATCCCAGCTGCAGAGGGCAGTGTCACTGGCTTTCACATGTGGGATCCGAACGGGGGCCCTCCAGCGCCCCAAGCCAGCTCCCAACCAACGTGTCACTCGGCCGACCCTGCAAAATCTTTTTAAGTATGTCAGCAATTCTTGGAAATGTAATAAACTAAACTCATTAATGTAAGAAATCAGCTTCTCTTATAAAGGTTTTCTAATTCTGTTAAAAATTATCTTACACCCAAAATTTCAACTCTAAGGGCTCAGTTGGTTAAGAGCTTGCTCAAGAGTTTGAGCTCTGAGCAACAGCGGTTCGATTCCCGGACCGAGCTGAGCAGCTGCTGAGCTGCCAACAGGTGGCAGGATGGCTCAGCTAAAAAAAACCAAAAAACAAAAACCAAAAAAACCCAAAATTTCAACTCTAAAATAAATTACATATTTCACATAAAAAAAGGTACTTTGTCCAACTCTCTAATATGCCAGATTCTCTTAAATAGTAAGTACTATATCAGTCAGGATACCCTGTAGGTCATGCTTCAGTAACAAACAATTCCAAAAAATCTCAGCGACTTCAAACAACAATTTGGTTTCTCACTCACACTCCGTGTTCACTTTGTGTTAGCTGAGGAGTCTGCTCCGGGCCTGGCTCACTCTGAGACCTAAGCTGATGGAAAAGTCACTTAAATGAAGCATTGCTGGTGGAAGAGGGAAACAGAGAAAGTGGCAAATTTTGTACTAGTTCTTAAAGCTCTCACCCCAAAGAGACCCATGTTATTTCTGCTCACATTTCTGTGGTTAACAAGTTACCGTATTTCCTCATGTATAAGGTGCACCCTTTTCCAAAAAATTTGGGGTCTAAAAACTGGGTGTGTCTTATACAGTGGTTGTAGATTTTTTTTTACTTGCATTTCCCGCTTTTTTTGTGCTCATACAACCACTGTATAAGACGCACTCAGTTTTTATACCCCAAATTTTTTGAAAAAGGGTGCGTCTTATACATGGGGAAATATAGTACTTGGCCACCCCTAATTCCAAGGAGGCAGGAAAATACAATCTTACCCATATTTCTCTGCTCATAAGTGAAGAGCTAGAATACTTCCAAAGAACAGAGCTAAGGGCCATCACATACACTCTGAATAGGAAATATACATATGATCCTGGTGATTAAAAACATACTGCTGAACTTATTGGTTTAACTTAGCCATCAGTGTGTTAGAGAGCTGATTACTAAATTTTCAAGAAATTTGCAAGCCAGTGGTTAAAGAGTCATTATTAAATATTAAATTATATAAACTAAATAAGGTAAATAAATTTAATAAATTTAATTAATAAATTAAATGTAAATTTAATTAATAAATTAAATAAATTTGATTTAAAACAAAGGTAATAAATACTCAAAACTCATTATTTGCTAACATTTTATTATTATCTATATTCTTAAGGATATTTGTAATGGTACATACTTGTATCTGTAATGGTAGAACTAATTTTTAATGGTGTTCTACAGTGCATCTCTTCCCACCTCTGCGTTCAGTGACATCTCATTATTAGCTAACAATTGGCCATGGTGGGAGTATTCATATGATGGACATCAACAAACATTACAAATCTGGGTTTGATCTGTGGTTTTGTTGGTTGTCTAGGTTTAAGAAAGTGATGGAGATAATGTTAATAATACAGTTTAAACTTAAAATAATGTGGTGTCTGTAACCATTACATGTGAGTAGCATAAAAAATTGAAGAAATATTCCTCCAGTATTTAAAAAATTATCTCATTCACTAAAGAAGTCAATTGTGTCATCAATAAACAAGTGAAGTTTCAACATACATCTTCATTGTTTCACTTTCATCTTACCAATTAATGAAAACGAAAGTTATTATATTAAGCAGCATTCATTTCAGAACTACTGTTGTTTGTCAGTTTCAATCATTGGTTGGCTGTGGATGTAAGATTTAGGTAAAATTCAACAAAAGCATTTTGTGACAATCAATTGCTACATAGAATTTATAACAAAAAGTATTATATATCTTATTTGCATGCTGTTATGCTATTCATCTTTTACAGCAATAACATGTAAAAGAAACACACACATATATACATGTATATGTGTATGTAACATACACACACTTATATGCATACATACACTCGCCCCCTGCCCCCGCCAGCACCCTTGGGCTTACCTCATCTCAATATGCCTTCCTAGAGTTGTTGTAATCTTCTGGAGAAGATCAAGTCCTTTTACACTGAAATTGGAAGTTACTATAATCTGCCAGAGTGGACTTGGGTGACCCTTAGGTGCTTGTGATAGGAAATACAAAAAAAAAAAAAAATCATCACTGTGACAAAACTCCCCAAGAGCATAGAAAGAACATGGACCAGCGGGCTTGCTTCTCTGTCATGCAGAGGGAAATGAAGTCCGGATCTATGAAAAGGCCCTGGCTTCAGCTTCCTTAAAGGCAGGCTTCAAGAGAATGACAGTGTTGAGGATGCTGAGCTGCTGTGGCTTAGGGCTCTCGGAGCAAACTTGCTTTAAGCACCATGGGGGTAAAGACCATCAGCTCCAGCCCCCAGTTTGGCCAGCCAGGGTCGCAGTGGGCAGTGAGAGCAGAAACTTCTCTTCGCACAGCACAGGTTTCATCTGAGTGAGCAGGCAGCATCCAGGAGCAGATGTAGTGAACTTCAGGCATAAGCAATTCAGTCTGACTTTCAGCTCCAAAGCTTAGGAAGCCAAGCTGTAGTGAGGTTTTAGTGTCAGGTGAGACTTGTTTTCTAGAGAAGTAGCAGAAGCTTAATTTTAGAAAGGAAGCAGGGAGAAAGAGGAGGGAGAGAAAGAAAAGGGAAAAGACAGTTTCCTGGGTCTTTAAAGACCAACATTAAGTTGGGTTCAAATCTAGCACCATCGCCATGGGCATGGCATTCATCCTTAAAACAGAAGTGGGAGGGGAGCGAGAACTAGTTAAGTCTTGCGAGGTTGCCAAAGGGCAATGTCCCAACATACTGGAGAGCATGCCACCAAAGTCAGAGGTAGGGAGATAAAGATAGAGAATACTTCCGAAAGGAAGAAGAGATTTAAAAATGTACAGTCTTTTAAAATAACTGTTTTCTTGCCCTCTAAATTTTAGGCCCAACATCAGACGAAGCCTCAGTGACTCTGACCTAAATTGTAGCTCTAGATCTCAGGTAAGTCATTGAAACTCGCTGAGTCGCCACTCTCTCCTATTGATAAAATAACACCCACCTCAGTGGATTATTGTGCGTTAAATGAGAAGACGTGTGAGGTGCTTGGCACTTAGTAAATGGTCAATAAGTGGTAATCATAATTATTTCTGCTTAGGCCTTTGAATCAGAATTTAGCAGTGCTTCATGCTAGATTTTTTTTTTAAGTCTATGAAAGTATTTTACTTAGGTTTTATTCCTTTAATTTTTTTTCTCTAAAATTAGTAATTGCTTCATTAATGATTTCTACAGAAGTTTTGAGGATGTTTGTTAGAGGAGGTTACCTGGGACTTGAGAAAAACAACCCAGTTTGACAAGTATAATCCTATATCGGTACCATCACTCAACTTTTTATGTTACCTAAATTTCAGGCATAGTGTGTAGAAGGAAACAAATAGGCTCTGAAGGACTATGCAAAGCAAACTTTTAAAGATGTGTGTATATTTGGGGGGTGGGAGGTAGAGTGGCCCTTGGTGATTCTGCTACGTTGTCATAAATATTTATTTGAATGAATGGATTTCCAATCCCCTAAACCCCACAATAGAGAACCTCTGGGAGCATGTTCAAATCCTGTTGCCAAGCTGTGCTTACTTGCCCTAATTTCCAGTTAACTTTAGCATGCCCAGAGGGTACATGGCATAATGCTTTCAGAACTAAGGACTTACCAGACAGATATTTTACAGCCTGGTAGGTCCCTGGTTCTGTAAGGGTTTGCTCTGCCCTCGCCCTGAGCCAGGGTACACACAGGTATTTATGGGTGGCCACACGCTGTCCCCACAGCCAATTAAAAGGAAGGACCCAAAAATCATTCCAGTCTCCTCTTGAGAAGTAACAGAAGTGGAATTAATTTTGTTCTTGTCATGGGGACAAATAGGGCTAAGTGAATGTAACTTTTGGGTCATTAGCCTCTTCTGCAGTCCCTATAGAGTTCTTTGCACCCCTTTATCATTGGTTCCAGAGGGGGTGTCCACCTGCAATCTCCAGAGAGTTGGCTGGGCTCTAACTAAAAATGCCACTCCTTTTTCTACTGTAGTTCCTGCATTCTGCTCTGACTGAACTTTCAGCTTTATTCTGACTCACATTAGTGTTTCTGCCTCAAAGGGGACACGTGACTTCTCTCTCTCTGTCCTAGCAGGCCAGCAGCAAATGATGGCTGGGGTGATTCATGGACATGCGTAATTTTCCCTGGGAACTTCACAAATGATCAGAGAGAGGGAAATCTGAAAGATACCATATCATCTTTAAATCAATTAAGTTAGGACTTGGAGCTTTGAGATTCTGGCGTTAAGGTTCAAAAACATTCTTGGAATTCGAGCCAACGTTCAATGAGGTAACTCTTACATGATTATCCCAAATTTCAGTTCGCCAGCCCTTCCCAAATATTTGCAGAAAAAATCCTAGAAACAGCTTGAATTCCTGCTAGTCAATTATGTAAGGTCTTGAGCATCAAGATTAGTGGTATTGGGGGGCCGGCCGAGTGGCGCGATGGTTAAGAACTGGCTTGGGACGCCAGAGGGCCCGGGTTCAGATCCCACATATGAGGGCCAGTGACACTGCCCTCTACAGCTAAGATGCTGAACAACAGCTCAACCTGGAGCTGGGCTGCTGTGAGTCGCCGGCGACGGCGTGGGCTGCAGTCCCTGTGGCAGTGGGTTGCCATGGGCTACCGTGTGTAGCCAGCAGCCAGCGTGAGCGGCCGTCCAGAAGCCGGCGACTGATCTGCCTCGCCCGGGAAGAGCGCAATGATGGTGCCAACTTGGGCCAGTGAAGCAACGTCCTCCACAACTAGACTGAAGAACAAAAGGACAGCAACTTGTCTGTTCCCCTTCCCCCAATTCCCCAGCACTGTTCCCATCCCCCCAATTCCCCAATAAAAATCTTAAAAAAAAAAAGATTAGTGGTATTGGTGTATGAAGTTTATTGATATTGGGGTATTGTGACTTCATTTATATCATCCAACTTGTGAACTCTGAGACCTAAGAGTTATTGGCAGTCATCATTTTGTTCTGATCAAGTTGTCTATGCCTGGCAGTTCTTGGTTGTTTCAGGCATTATCACTACTTTTTAGTGGAGCCAGACACCTCATTATATCACTGCTGATATTTCTCAATCCAAGCCCAAAAAATTCCACTGGGATACATTTTTAAGCCAGCCTCTAATTCCACTGGATTTCGTATAAATATCCTTCAATTTACAAGGTGGCACTGCTCAGTGCTGGACTCCATAATAACGATTATTGGGCTCCATGGTATATTCTCTGGGACTAAGATGGCATCATTTGGATTAAGACCAGAGCCTCACATCACCCCCAAGCTGAACATACTTAGGACACTGGTTTTAAGCTGACACCACCTAGCATGAATGGAGCCAATCCCTCTGTCCATTAGCCCAGGACCTGACATCCTCCAGGAGATGGTTGGGACTAATTCACTCTGCATTCTTATCCCTGTTTTCATTGCCACATCAGTCACTGGTCTTCCATTACATCCATGGTCTATAAGTGTGGTCCTTGGATCAGAGCAACCACATAACTTGGGAACTTATAATGCAAATTCTTAGGCCCCACCCCAGATCTACTCAATCAGAAACCCTGGGAGTGGGGTCTAGCAATCTGTGTGTTAACAAGCCCTCCCCATTATTCTGATGCACATTAGTGTTTGAGAATGACTGCACTGGAACATCATCCCCATGATTCTTTATTCCTAAGTCAGCCCTCTACTTTTCTAATGCACTTCCAGCCCCTGCCCCAACCCCTCCCCAGGCAGAGCAAGGGTTCTCCTCACCCAACTCCCATATCAGGCTCACATCTTTCTGATTGGTTTGTGCCCAACCCATACCAGTTGTTAAATTTTTTTAGTATAACCCATCTTAGCTAAACCCAACAGATTTTCCAGATTCCATCTTGACTGTTCAGAATCCTTTAACACAGTCAGCTGTTTGAAACAGTCTCTTTCTTTGATTTCTGTGATGGCACATTCTCCTGGTTTTCTTCCTGTACCTCTTGGTTTCTTATACTGACTTTCCCCATTGACATAACCTTTAAATGTTGGTGTTGTCCTGGGTCATCTTTTCTTTACTTTAATATCTCAATGGATCACACTTATTCTCACCTCATGGCTTCAATTACTATGTCTATGGGAATGAATTCCACATTAAATGTTTAACCAAGACCGCTCCTCTGAACTCCACACCTGACTTGAATATCTGCTTAACAAATCATTTGGATGTCTCATAAAACCTACAAATGTAACATGTATAAAACTGAATTTTTCACCTCCTAGCTCCCCATCTGGTCCTTCTGCAGAGATGGTTCTACCATCCACCTAAATGTACAAATCAGAAACCTAGAAGTCATCTGTAACTCCTCTCCCCACCTCACTACCCTCTCATATCCCATCAATTACCACATTCTATTTATTCTCTCTCTAACATATATGGAACATATGTTAAACCCATTCAATTCCCTCCATATCCCCTGCCAGTCTCTTGTTCAAGTCACCATCACTGATAAGAGTGGCCTCTTGCGTTCCTGCATCCATATTTGCCTCCCTCCAATCTATTTTCTAAAAAGCAGCCAAAATGACCCTTTAAAAATGCAAATCTGATTAAACCAATATATCCTGTTGCACTCCTGTGGGGTTCAAAATGAGGTCACATTCCTCTTAATGTTCAAATCAGATGACTTGGAGCCTTCTACTTGTCTCCCTTGTGTGATAACTTCAGATTCCAAAGGTTCAGATTGTCTTAATAAATGGAACTGGAAAATCTGCTCATATTCTTTTTGACTGCTGTGACTGTCAGTGAAACACCAGACTCTACTGGTCCTCTGTCCTTGGGTAGACCTTGTCTATTGCTATGTGATCTGCAGTGACAGGGAACAAATGTCCACCAAACAGCCCAGGGTAAGCCTTATTCAGGGAAAGAAAGTGTTTTAATGATCTAGGCCCAACAGTATTTCAGTTCTGGAGGTAGTGGGGGGAAAATCTTTCTTTCCAAGAGTTATATTCAGCTATGATGGCTCATTGCCATGGTAGGCTTAGGGCCCAAATGTTAAAGCTCTTCCCTTACATAGTAACTTTTAGTTCATACACATGGAATAAGGAGTGCCGGTAGGGTCAGAACCTGCTTACATTTCCCAACCCAAAGCCTTAATGCCCTTGTGAATTAGTGCATGCAAAAACCTAAGGAGTAAAGGTGTAGTCTACTTCTTTCTGAAAGAGAGGTTCATTTTTAATCAAAATGTCCTGGACATTCTCTAGTTCCTGTCTTTGTTAGATGGTCTGACCACTAACTCAAGTTAGAAACACAGGAGAACCCCAGAAACTACCTTTTCCTTCAACCCTCACTTCTAATCAGCCACCAGTGCCTGAGTATCATTAGAATTCAGCTCTGACACTGTCTTAATTCAAGCTCTTATCTGTTCCTGTACTGTTTTCATCAGTTCCTACAGGTCACCCTGGCTCAACTTCCAATCCAACCTCCATAATGCATTCACTGATCTAAAATATAAATCTACTCCTGTTTCTGTTTTGTTTAAAGCTCTTTAATTAATCCCCATTGTCTATTGCAAGAACAGGATTCTTTTTCTGAGACGTATGAAACAGGAGTCAATGGATGGGCAGCAGAAGAATTATATGCAGAATTTTATATGTGCATGTCAATGAATGGCCCATAAGTTTAATCAGAACTTTAAGGGGTACCTTTCCATAAAAGGCTAAAACCTACAGTTCAAGCTCAAGCTGTTTAGCCGC